AAATAATCTCAAAGGTCTTTCATGTTCTTTTCATCCTTTCCTTTTTGGATAAAAGAAAAGTCGGTGGCGACTCTTGCTAACCGCAACATTTGCGATAAAACGTAAAACACCCAAGTCAGTTCTCCCACCGTATCACAGATGGCATCTATAAGCTCATCTCTGACAACTCTCCATCATCTCTCCAAATGACATCTTTGAGCCCATTCCCTACACAATCAACAACCACACCATCGAGTGCAAGTTTCTTGGCACTCTAGTGTTCAATCATCTTCCACCTTCAAGTCACAAATGGAAGATTCGTCAATCTAACTCTTCAGGTTTAATAAGATTGAACAGGGGCAGTTGTTGTACCCCAAAATTTTCCCTCTCTTTTCTCAAGGCATTTCTCACAAGGATTCTTAAAAATCCAAGCTTACACAAGTACAATTGGATTTTTTAGCATCAAGTTAAAGAGGAAACTATTAAAAAGTGAAAAATAGATAAAAATATTCTTTTTTGGAAAAATTGAAGAAAAAAGTTTTCTTTGATTTTACATCTTTAGATTGGGCACTTTGGCTCATTCGATGCAAGCTTTGGTTTAGAGTTTTCGTTTGAACACTGCACTTTCTTTTGGGCAAGTTCGTTTAGGCACTAGACTACTTTTGGGAAAGTTCGTTTCCTGCTTCGTTTGGGTGCTGGACTTCTTTTGGTCAAGTTCGATTCCTGCTTCGTTTGAACATTTTAGTTTCTTTGCACAAGATTGGTATACATCTTTCGTTTGACCACATGGCCTATTTCCAGCATGTTTGCCAAATTCACAAGGCAGAATTTCCCACCACACTAGCGTGCACAAGGAAAAAATATCCCTATGGCTAGCATTCACTGGATTCACATTAGCACCCATAGTGCAATGGTTACCTGCATGCAAGCTCTGACTGGGAAAAGTCTCCCTCTGAAACAACTTGCTATAAGCTTCGACAGGGTAACACTTATCTTTAACTAGCTTCGATTCAAAAGGCAAAAAGATTCATGCTGATGTCCTTCGATTCAGAAGGCAAAGAGCCTCATGTAGCCTCCTTCGATTCAAAGAGGAAAACTCTCCTTGCATGCAAGAGGCTCCCACCAGGCCAGCAGGCACAAGGCAAAGAGCCTCCTGTAGCCTCTTTCGATTCAAAGAGGAAAAGCCTCATGCACGCAACCTTCAATTGCACCATTTGCCCCTTACATGTTTGCCTTGAGTCACAAAGTAGTGACCCCCTGCATTCAGGCTTTGACAGGGAATTGACTCTTCATGCAAACCTTCATTTGAGCATTGGCCTCTTGTATGCTTTCTTGGAGTCACAAAGTAGTGACCTCCTGCATGCAGGTTTCAACAGGGCATTGGCTATGTTTACACTAGCTTCGACTGGACGATATTTCCCTTTGAAATAGTTTGCCTCAATTCCACCCTTGAAAACCTTCAACACACATGGTTGGTGCCCCCTTTAAAGGACATGTGTTGGTGGATTTGAAGAGCATACATAGGGGTCCCTTTCGAAAGATATACATTACTGGCTCATTTGAAGGACTTGCGAGACATACTTGGATGTCCCAATCGAATGACATTTTGGTGACTCATTCAAGGGGAACACATTTGGCTCCTTCGAAGGGTGCACAAAAAGAGCCCATTTGAAAGACACTTGTTGAGTAAAAACTAAATAATGTTATTTAAAGGAAAATCTGGTCGAAGGGTGGTCAAAACGAAAGATAAAATATTCAAAAGGTGCTTGCTGCCAAGTTCAGGCCTGATACACTAGCCATAACGCTCCAAAACTGTTGCACATCAGTCCTGAAACACTGCCCCATTCTTCCACTAAAATGGCATACAAACACTGCCCCTCGAAAGCTACAAAAAAACAGTTTACTCAATTTGTTCAAATTGTTTTGTTTTCCCTCCTAAATCTCAGCCAGCTTTACCTATAAATAAGAAGCTCCATAACATATATAAGGGGCTGGACAACACATCCAAAGACTTGGGAGAGTGTGAAAAGAATCTCCAAAAATCATCAAACTCTCAACACTCTTAAAATCTTAAGATTCTTAAATACTAACACAAACCCTTCAAATCCAGAAGAAACACCACACCTTTTTCCTTGGCCCTGTCGAATCCAGAAGAAACACCAAACTTGTTTCCTTGGCCCTTCAAATCCAGAAGAGACACCACACTTGTTTCCTTTCTCCTTCGAATCCAGGAGCATTTGGGAATCCACTCAAGTTCCAGCACACACGTTCCATCTTCAAACAAGGTAAGTTTCTCTTAACCTTGAACTTTCGTTTCTAGCATAACATGTGCATAGTCATTCCTTTTGTTTCAAGCATGTACATGACATTTGTTTACTTTTCATTTCTGCCCTTTTCGTTTGTTTTCTTGTCAAATATATGGTAGAACTAACCAGTATAGGCCCCAAACAAAAGAAGGAGTTTTTTTGTGTGAAATGAAGCCTCATGCTTTACCCTCCTTACTGCATCACAGTCCAAACGAAGGAGCAAGAAGGGAGAAACAAAAGGTGTTCACACTGATTCCTTGGACCAGTTGAAAGCATTAGCCAGAAGGAGGAATCGAAGGCTGTCTCTCACGCTAACTGCTAAGCTCAATCGAAAGAATCAGCCCGTAGGATATCCACACTGACTTCTAGGCCTCAAACGAAACAGGCAGCCAGAAGGATGGCCACACTGACTTCCAGGTCCCATTTGAAAGAAACAGGAAAAAGGGGAAATTGAAAGACATGTCCTTACTACTTCCAGGCCAAATCGAAGGAAGCCAGGAAGGGCAGAATCGAAGGAAGTTTCTGCTTGGATCCAAAGGCTCATTTTTTTCTCCGTTTATTTTGTTTTGTCTTTACATTTTCTTGCTATTCAATATGGTTGTAATAGTGTAGGATTTATTTTTTTGTATTTTTATTGCTTTTGTACAAATGTTAGTAATTAGGATGCATGGCAAGATAAAACCAACAAGTAGACAACCTCAAAATCAAAGACAAAATGCATGCAAATCAAACACACTATTCACACATGCACCTCTAGGGTAATCCTACTTGTTGCCTCGGAAAAATAGTCATGTCCCTCGAATATGGGCGTTTTAGCAAAGACCCTCGATAAAAGATCATAGTCTCTCAATGACCCTCAATGTTGCCTTCGGTAAACGATATAGTCCCTAAACGACATTGCTAAAATATCCCATAGGTTTTCTTCTATGACTATACAAACGTCCTACGCCCGTCCCTTCACATTCAATGGTGGGGCTTCTTACCAAATCAATGGTAAGATAGCAACATCTAAAGGAGGAGGAAAAGAACATTAGACCTTTTGAGTAGGTAGGACGCTCATAGTTGCTCGCTTGCTCACAACAAAAATATTTTTACACCAACACTTTAAAATTGAAACATTTTCAAAAGACAAAACTCTTTGTACGCATTCTTATAGAAACGAGAATCATTACAGAGACACTTTTCAAAATTACTTTCAAAAACACATTCCACAAACACCTTTTTGAACTATTTTCAAAATCAAAACTTTGTACGCGTTCTTATAGAAACGAGAACCATTACAAAGAAGTTTTTTCAAAATACTTTCAAAACGCACACCACAAGCACATTTTCAAACAAAAGCAAGTGATCTAGCAAGCAACTAAGAGCCTGTAGATAACTACGGATGGAAAGGGTGTTAATACCTTCCCTTTTCATAACTTACCCCCCGAACTCAAGAAAATATCTCGAAAGGTCTTTCCTGTTCTTTTCAACCTTTCCTTTTGGATAAAAGAATATTCGGTGGCGACTTTTGCTATCCGCAACAATTGCAATCAAACGCAAAAACCCAAGTCAGTTCTCCCACTGTGTTACAAGGCTCAACAAGAAAATGTTCTAGAATCATGTGCTGGAAAGCCTCTAAATGCCAAGAATCTGAAGAAAATGAAGATGATTGAAACCATTAAGAAATATCCAACAATCACCACCAAGGAAGTCATCACCACCAGAAGAGTGCCTCTGAAGGATTTTTCTCTCTTCACTCAAGCAGACTCCTCTTTAGAAATTGTTCTCAGGTATCTGGAAGCCTGCAAGAGTGATGGTACGATTCCATATGTGAATATTCTTGATCTAAGGCAACAACCTCTGAAAGTTGCTGCCAGAAAGTCAAGAAAAAGGAAAGCTGTTGGAGAAGGAACATCTCAAAAAAACCCCAAAGCTGCCAAGAAGAAAGGTAACTCGTCTTTTATTTTTGTTATTAAATCAGTAATTTTATCAATATCTGAAACCCCCTCATCTCCAAAACCTGTTGAAGATCCATCTCCTCAAACCCTTGATGAATTTGACCTAGAAATTGACACCTTAATACCTTCAAATAATCCTCTGATTAATCCACCTTCTACCCAATTTAATCAGACTCATCCAAAACTTGCACAAGGTCTTTCTGATATTGATCAATTTGATCCACTGTTTGAAGGTCCCTAAACCGAAAATTCAAATATTGACTCTGATACCACGACAGCCATCTCAAGCATCATTTGCCCACTCATGATCTCTCAACCAGCAATAATCCCGACAACTACATCACAAACTTTCTCTATTTCAGATATTCCATCTCCCTATCATTCAACACCACCTAACTCATCTATAATTCTTTCTGACTCTCCCTATCTCAATAACTACCTAGAAGATCCCCTTAGAAAAATCATTGATTTATAAGTTTGGGACAATCTTGTCACAAATTCTCAGAAAATAGTCGTTCCAAAACCAACACCAAAAATATCCAAATCAGATGTTGGTAAATCTTGCTGATTTTTGAAGCCAAAGTGTTTGGTTAGTATATATTTTTTAAATACCATTTTCTTTTTCATGATACTACATGATAAGATGGTCAATTTATTACCATTAAAAAAAAGATTTGGTAATTACTTTCCATAAGTTATCGGTCTGGATATATTCGTGAATCTTTATTTTTCCTATAAATTGTGTTAATTGCACCGTCCATTTCTTACATTCAAGATGAGAAACTTGTACTTGATCTTGCTCCACATTTTCCTAACCTTTGTGGTGACACATTCAGCACCTAAAGAATCTGTTATAACAAATCTTCCAGGCTTCAATGGCTCTCTACCTTCAAAGCACTATGGAGGGTATGTGACAATAGATGAAAGTCATGGTAAGAACTTGTATTACTATTTTGTTGAATCAGAAAGTAATTCATCATCAAAGGACCCTATTGTTCTATGGCTTAATGGTGGACCAGGATGTTCTAGTTTTGATGGTTTTGTATATGAACATGGTAAGTCTAATTATTTTGCATTATCATTTTCATTTTGTAATTGTTTCTTACATCAAATAAACTTAGAGTGAAAATTCATTTTAATATCTACAACAAAAATTTAATTTTAATATCTAATATAATATATTATATGAACACTATGTTCAATTGGTGATGTGTTTCAGGTCCTTTTAATTTTAACAAACCTGTCAATGGAAATCCAAACTGAATTTCAAGGTATATATTTTGCCAATCAGTGATTATACGTTATTATAGTTTTTCTTTATTTAACTTTGTTGGTTTAATCTAAGGTGATTTGAAATTGTAGGGTTATTTGATTGGAAATCCTGTTGCTGATGAAATATTTGATGGCAATGCTCTTGTTCCTTTTGCACACGGAATGGGTCTTATCTCTGATCAAATATTTGAGGTATAAATAAAATATTTGAGAGTCTCTTGATTTGAAAAAGTGTTTGATTATTTTTAAACATGTTTCATAGAAAGTGTTCATGGTTTACAGTCAAATTTTAATGTCATGTGTTACAGAACATAACAAAAGCATGCAACGGGACTTTCTATGCAACAAACTCTAGTGATTGTAACCATTGTTTGTCAAACCTTGACGATGTATGTAAATCAAATCAACTACACTACCATTATTACTGTCAATTCAAATGCTAATTTACGATTTATAGTTTTTAATCATGTTTTTGCTTTAGATAATTGCTTTAGATAATGTCTTCACTTCCAATCGATTTTGGTTAATGGATTAACATTTTTACGATTTAACATTTTTAATCATATTAACACTTATAGTTTTTAATCATGTTTTGAATGGAGACCATGTTTTTGCTTTAGATCATATACAAGGATATGCCAACAATCTCTCTTTTCTGACGGTAAAGGTATGTATATAAAAATGTAATTAATCTATAAATCAATTTAGCTTGGAATAGTTTTAATATACTATCTAATAATATTTTTGCAGGGATCTGGACATACTGTTCCAGAATATAAACCAGAAGAGGCATTATGCTTTTATAAACATTTTTTTGGATAGAACTCCTATATAAGAAATAAGAGATCAGAGAAACATAAGTGTTTAAAATAATTATCATTTATTTGATGGAGTAGCTCAAAAGTGTAGGAAGAAAATAAGTTATTTTAGCATTCTCTTTGTACAACAAACATAACACCTTAATATGAGTGTGACTCATAGTTTAATTAGAGTGGTCAATACTTTTTCTTAGCATATAGTTTTATATATGATACTTCCATGTATTGAACATTATTTGAATATTGAAATAAACTAAGTTTATTGTCTTAAAAAAAATAAGAGTGTAACTTAATTGCAATTTTTGTCTTCCTATTTATACTAACAAATTTTATCATTTATTTTTTTAATTTGATATTTTGGGGCAATTAAGTGTTAACGTAATCAATCTATTTAGGCTAAATTAAATGTCATTCATGTTTGCAGGTGGTTTTGACTTTCTAAACATTTTTATGAGGAATTTTGCTTTTGAATCCAGATCATCAAATCTATTATAAATATATAAAAAGTAAAGTATTTTAAAAAGTCATATGTATTTGACAATTAATGATGCTTATGTGTCATATTCACAATTATTTAATATATTTTTTTATTAAATTGTACTATTTTGGTTATAGAAAATGCATCCTTTGAGAACCTAAATTATAGGGAAATAGCACTTTCATTCTCTCACATATCCAAAATCCACATCTCTTCTCCTTCTAAGTCTCTTTTTTTATTCTCTAATTTTTTTTCTCTTTATCTCTATTTTCATATCTTCACTTCTAATCGATTTTGATTAATGGATTTTTTTTCTCAAAAAATCAAATCTATGGTGCAATCTGGGATGAAGAAGACAGTTGAAGAACTCATACAACAAGAAATGAGAGGGTTGAAATTCATTTTTCTTCAAATTGATTCACTTTGGTTAATGGATTTTTTTCTCCAATTTTTCTCTCTTTATCTCTATTCAACTTCGAATTGATACTAAGATTTTGTTTATTTAGGGTTTTTTCTAGAATATATTTTACGAAATTCTAAAATCTATTACTTTTCTCCTTCCAAGTTAAGTATAATTCTCGTCTCTCCATTCCCAAACGATAGCTCCATATTCAAGTCTCTTTTCTTACTTAAAAAAAAGTCTTTTTTTTATTCTCTAAAAAAATAGAAAGATATCACATGTAATATTGTAATTAATGAAAATATATTCAAAAATTGTTTTTATTGAATAATTAGTTAAAAAAAACAAATATTATTACTTTGCTATAACATCAAAAGATCTTATAATAATCGTAAACTTTAATTCAAATAATTTAATTATTCAAAAAAAAATTCATTTAATTTTGTTATTTATTATTGATATGTAATTGATTTCATTTAGTTATATTAATTAAATCATACTGATTGTTTCTAAAATATTAATTGATTCATTAAAATTAAATTAAATTAAATTAAATTAATGAAAATAAAATATATAATATTGATAAAATTATAAATAGATTTCAAAAAGTGTTTTAAGAGAAAACTATATGATTTTGAATGATATTGATATATTTTTATAAAAATTAAAATATTATTCCTCATAAAATAATTATGATTTATGATTATAAGTATTTTAAAAATCATTTTAAATTATAATTATGATTTATGATTTACTCTAAAATGATAAAAATATCTTCATTAAAAAATAAATATTCCAAAATAAATAATGATTAACATGAAATTAAATATATAAAGTGAACAATTGAAATTGATAAAATTTTCAATCATTTTAAAGAAAATTTATTAAAAAATATTAGCAAAATTGTGATTTGTTTAAAATTTCAAGTAAGTATTATTATAGTTTAAATAACAATTTGTTAGTAAAAAAATATTAAAAATCATGAATATTTATACAACATTATAAATTATAAAAAATCACGTATTTTAAAGAAATATTAATAAAGTCACATGATTTTTATTAATATTTATTAAAATATTTTATTTTTAATATTTATTATTAAAATATTTTTGAAAGAAACTATTATACGTATGATAACTTTATCAAAGAGTTAATTGATCAATTAATTCAATTAGTTTATTTTCAAAGTGTTAATTAATTTATTAAAATTCAATTAAGTTTAATTAATGAAAATAAACTATTTAATATTAATATAAATTTTAAATAGTAATCAAAAAGTATTTTATGAAAAAACTATACAATTTTGAATTCTATTGATATATTTAGAAATAAAATATATTTTGAAATTATTTAAATTTTTATAAAAAGATCAATAAAATAAAATAAAATCAATTGAGATTTTGTAGTTATTTTAAACTTATAAAATAATTAAAACTTATGAGAATCTTCTCAAATTAACTTTATAATGGTAATCCTTATAAAAAATGTTAAATAGTAGTCATTAAAATTTAATGATAAATGGTAATCATAAAAGATATACATTTATTTTTATAAACGGAATAAGTTACGATTATTTTTAATAAAGGATAATAAGTTACAAATAATTTTATAAATAAAATTAACTCAACTATTTATATTATTATCTATATAAATGAGAATAAATTACAAATATTTTTATAAATGGACACACATGTTCAAGGTGCTTATAAATGGAAAATAAGTTACAATAACTTTATAAACGGAAATAAATTACAATTATTTTCATAAAAAGGAATAAGTTACAAAAAAAGTTTATATAGAAGAAAAATTGAGGTATTTAAACAATTGTTTTTAACATGGAAAAATTAAAATTTGTTTTATAAATTGTCACACAGGTTGAAGGCGCTTATAAACGGGAAAAAGTCTACATATTGATATAAATATTTTTATATACGGAAATAAGTTACAATAATTTTCTTTAAACGGGAAAAAATTATAAATATTCTTATAAATGGAAAAAATTAAACTTATTATTCAATTGTTATTATAAATCAAACAAATTACAAATATTTGTTTATAAATAGACGCACGAGTTCAAGGAGCTTACTATGTTTGTAACTATATAAATGTTAAACAACTGAATAAATATATACAAATTTAGAAAATGAGAGTGAAAAACGTATAATTTGAATCCAAACGAGAACGGTACGATAGCATGAGTTTCTTACTATTATAAATTTCATATTGATTTCTAATGCACCAATTTTTTTAATTGTCTTTTTGAAATATTTTTCATTTCTATTGTGATACGGTGGGAGAACTGACTTGAGGTTTTGCGTTTGTGTTTGCAAATGTTTCGGTTTAGCAAGAGTTGCCACCGACTTTTTATTTTATCCTAAGGAAAGATCAAAAAGCACAGGAAAGACCTTTGAGATGTTTTCTTGGGTTCGGGGAGTAGATTATAGAAAGGGAAGGTATTAGCACCCTTTCTATCCATGGTTATCCATGGGCTCTTAGTTACTTGTTTAGATCACTTGCTTTGCTTTTCAATTGTTTGAAATGGTGCTCTTCAATTATTTGAAATGGTGTTTTGTGTGTAGTTTTGAAAGATGTTTTGAAAAGAGGCCATCGTTGTGGCAACCTTTGTAATGATTCTTGTTTGAATGTATACAAAGGTGTTTTTGTCTTTTGAAAAGTTCAATGTTTGGAAGTAGGGTTTTGAAATTGTGTTGTGAAGTGTGTTTGAGAATAGCAAGGATATTTTTGCGAGCTTTTGATCAAGTAACTAAGAGTTATCTACCCTATTTTACTCAAAGATCTTTCTTATGTTTTTAACCCTTTTAACAGTGTTGTTTCACCATTGTATTTGGTGAACAACCTTGTGTTAGGATGTTAAACGGGACAGGCGCGGGTCATCGTATAGACCATGATAGCAATTATGTCAAGTATTTTTGGCAATTTTCTTGAGGGACTTGATCATTTTTGTTTAGGCAACTCAGATAGCGTCATCGAGGGACTATGATCTTTTGTTTTGTTTTTGTTTTGCCAAAGTACTTAACATGCATACCATGGCCCATTTTTGAAGGCAACAAGTGGATTGTAACCTTAGGGGTGCAAGTGTGCATTGTGTTTATTTTTTCATGCATTTTTTGTCTTTGATTAGGTCAAACTATTTGTTAATTTGATTTTGCATACAAACCCAAATTCTCTAATCATGGCATAATTTAAGCGCGTAATAATAAATCTAAGCTATTACAACTTTGATATAGGGAGGGGGGTACAATTTTGAATAGGGGATTATTTGACAATAAATTTAAACCCTAAGTTATTACAACCAAATTGAATCTCAATGCAACAATATTTAAATGTACAATTACTTAAATAAACAAAATAAATAAATATTAAATAAAATGTATTATGCAAAAAAGAAGTTTTTATGTATGAAAAAATATTTTCAATGTAAAGAAATATAAAGAAATATGTAAATAAAAAAAAAGATTAATTTTATTTATTAAAGGGGGTAAACCCTAATTTTCTTTAAGAAAATAATATTATCTATTATTCATATACAAAAATATATTAATATGTATAAAAATAAAAATATATTGAAAAAGTGTTTTTTAGTATAAATAATAATAAAAATAAAAATATAATATTTTTGTATTTTTATCCTATGTTTTTTAATAAAATAAAGGTATATATATATATATATATATATATATATATATATATATATATATATATATATATATATATATATATATATATATATATATATATATATATATATATATATATATATATATATATATATATATATATATATATATATATATATATATATATATATATATATATAT